TTTGTGAAGCTTCTTATTGGGTGTAAGTGGATCATTATGATCAAGGAAGTGGTGACTACAAAGTTCACTTGGAGGCTAAGGGATATAGCTAGATAGCATGTATCGATTATAAAAAATATATATTTTCATTATTAAACATACTTCTATTCGGCTAGCCTTGCTAATAATATTCGATCTGAAGTTAGAACAACCAGATATGAAGACACCATTTCTTCATGAAAAGTAAAAAAAAAAGATTTATATGAAACAATCAAAAGAGTTCGAGGAAAAAAGAAAAGAGAATTATGTCTATTTATAGGAGAAGTTCCTGACCTCAAACAGTCTCCAAGATAATTAGTATAAATAATTTGACAAATTTATGTTCAATTCTAAATTCAGTAGATTCCTTTATGATATTGGTATATATATGAAAAAAAAATAATTTTACAGTATATTTACTATTATATGTTAATGATATGCTTGTTGTAGTAAAAGACAAGTCTAAAATAAACAAACTTAAATATACTTATGGGAAAGTTTGAAAAAAAAAACCCCTAAAATGAGAAAGAAATACAAGAAATGAAAAAGATTCCTTATACAAGTGTCAATATTAATCCCGACGAAAAAGGTGGAGAGTTATGTTGATTTTAATATAAAGCTAGATAATCACTCAAAAGTAATGCAAGGTACCTTCACCACCTAAGCGTATCAAATTGCATATAGTAAGCTATGAGGTCACTTGGAAGCAATCGCGGTCTTATGGATGCCCAAATGTGGTATCAATTAGATAAGGGTTTTCTTATTATTTTAGATTAAGGAGAGTAAAAAAGTTAGTCAACAACTTAGAATATATAGATAGTTTGAGAGAACCAATTAGAATTGATAGACACTATGATTAAAAAAAATGTTATTTGCTTACAATAGAATAAGTCGGTAGGGAAAAAAATATAGAGAGATTAATAGTACTAGATTTAAAATTTGGTATATTCTAAATAGTGTAAGAAATATTATTGATAATAATCTTAAAAATAATATTGTATATATAAAAAGATTTGGAGATAGAATTATAATTTTAAAATTTATAAAAAGATAAATATGTTTTGAATGTAATTAGTCCTTATGCCCCTTAAGTCAGATTTAATGATCAAATCAAAAAAGAAATTTTAGAAAAGCTTAGATGATATCAATCGATAAATACCTATAACCAAAAACCTTATAAGATGATGGTAATGATATCAGTCAATAAATACCTATAACCAAAAACCTTTTAAGATGTTGGTATGATTTCAGATTTTATAATTTTGTATAATATTATAATTTATCAATACTCACTTTAAAATTTTAAAGAGATGTCACAATTGTAGTCAAATAAATATTTTTCACTAGAAAGATAAATAAAATTATTTGTAATAATTGTAAAATAATATTTGACAAAAGTTTGAGAAACTAACATAGGTTGATGGCATTAGATGTTTATCATAAAAATAAATAAAAAATAATATAAAAAATTACTAGGACATAGTAATATTTGACAAAATTACTAGATGTTTATATTTTATTATAATATAAAATATAATACAATTTTAAAGATGATAATGTGAACACTTTTAAAAATAAAAGAGAAAGAGAAACTAACTTAGAAATTAGATGATAATAATATCAATATTATTTGAACTATGATTATTAATAAAAGAGTTGAGGTCCATTTTAGTCTTTATTGTTTTAGCTATGGATTACTTAAGTCCTTATGATTTATTTATATCTAAAATAGCTTCTAATTTTAAAAAACGTAGCATATAAGTCCTTCCGGTCAAGTCTGAGTTAATAGACATTATAGTATGCTTACGTAGTTTTGGTCATAGACCACTCATAATAAAATATTAATATAATAATATATATATAATTTATTTTTTAAAAAAGTTCAATTTAGCTCTTGTGGTTTTGGTCATGGACCACTTAAGCCCTTATGGTTTTGTTTATGTCTAAAATAACACTATATTAAAAAAAAAAAAATAGTATATAAGCTCCTCTTGTGAAGCCTGAGTTAACAAACATTAGACTCTAACATTCTTACTTACACTAAATCATTAATATAATAATATATATAATTTAAAATTAAAAAAATAAGACCACCATCAATGGTGGGAGGAGGCGTCATCATGGAAGCGATCACCAACAATAGTACCGAGCTGCTGTTGCTTAGTAGAGCGTCGTACATACGTAGTCTCTCCCACGCTGACAACAAGCTCAGGAGTTTCCGGTCCAACCTCAAGTAGATGTGCGTCAACCAATTCGACGTTAAGTATGCAATAGTCTCCTAGTCCCTCTTCCTCCTCTTGAGTATTTTTATAACATGGTGGTTTAGCTCTCCCTCACCTCTGCCTTCGGTCTCATTTACCTCTATCTCTTTGCCTTCATTCGTCGCTACGACCTCCGTTACTTCGTCTTCCTTAACAAGATTGACATTTTTTTAATTTAAATTATATATCATTATATTAATAATTTATTGTAAATCAAAATACCATGTAAGTAGATTTTGACATCTCTCAACTTAGACTCAAAGGGAGGGGCCTATATTAGATATAAACAAAACCATAACGTTTGCTAACTTAGCTACGTTTTTTTAAATACAAGGATTATATTAGATAAATAAAACAATAAGAGTTTAAATGGCCCATTGGTTAAAATAGATTCTTTTTTTTAACTTAAATTATATGTGTCATTATATTAATAGTTTATTATAAGTCAACATGCTACGTAAGTAGACTCTAACATCTATTAACTCAGACTTGACGGAGGGGCTTATATGTGTTAGGATCAAGAGCACTAAGAGGGGGGGTGAATTAGTGCAGTGGATAACTTTCGATGATTTAAAACGACGTTCGTACGATAAAAACACTTTTATGAAAAACCATTTCGGAAAGTTCTTCAACTTAAGATTAAGCGAAGTACAGTTGAAGAAAAGCAATGGAGGTAGTTTGCAGTTAAGATAGAGAGCAGAATATAAATGCAAATTGAGATTTAGAGTGGTTCGGTCAATCTTAACCTACATCCACTTTTGACTTCCTCCTCCGATGAGGTCACCAACGTCCAGTAGAGGCCTTCCTTCAATAGACGAAGGCCAACCACCCTTTTACAGCTTTACTCCTTTTGAGGGGTTTAGGAGACAACCCTTACAGATTTTTACTCATCTCTTGAATGATCAAAACTTAGATGAAAAGAGGAAGGAGAACTTTTGACCTTTTACAACACTTTTGAGCTCTCAAATTCTCAGAATTAGATTAAAATTTTGGTGTCCTTTCATATAGGAAAGGGTGGGGTTTATATAGGCCCTAATTGGTTTGAATTTGGAGCTCAAAAATTACATCTCCCGGATTTCCAAGGTCCTGGTGGTACTACCACCTGGCATTGCTCGGAGATCGAGCTCAGGCTGTACCACCGCTTGATAGGGGCGGTACCACCGCTCAGCTTCGCTCGAAGACTGAGCTCAGGCGGTACCACCGCCCAGCATTCCTGGGAGACTGAGCTCCTAGGCAGTGCCATCGCCGGCTAGGAATTCTGGGACCGAATGGGATGATCCATTCGCCCCAATTTGGGTCTCTTAAGGGCCCAATTGCCCCAGATTAAGTTGATCACCTCCCATTTCTAACTTAATCTATATGCTAACTACGATATTTAAGACATTAATACTGCACCTTGCTCTAGTGCGTCAATCGCTTCTTCTGGCGAGCTTCCGACGAACTTCCGGCGAACATCCGATGAACCCTCGGCGATGCTCCGGCGGACTTCCAGCAAACTCCTGGACTTGCGACGATCCACTTAGTGAGTTCCGACGAGCTTCTTTGGCAAGCGTCTGGACTTCTTGGATTTGTTTTCGCAGAACCTCCGACAACCGTCCAGACTTTCGTCGAACTATCGAACCCCCAACGTGATCATGGTCTTGGCTCCGGCGCAACTCCTGTTGCATGTCTTACTTCCATCGTAGTTAATCCTGCACACTTATCTCAACATATGGATTATATAACAAATGACAATTGACTTCATCGTCAAAATCCGAGATTCAATAATATGCTATGTTTTTAAAAATATCAGGATTATTTTAGATACAAGTAAACCATAAGAATTTAAGAGTTAAAATGTACCTTAACTTTTAACAAGATTATGAGCTTAACAAAAAAAGATTCTTAGTAAAACTGAGGTGTAAGAGTTGGTAGTGATCGAACGAAGTTCAAAAAGTAATTTTTAACATGTTTTAAAGATTAATAAAATTTTAAAATAAAAATAAAAGATATAAAAATTAAAAAAAAAGCTAAAAAAATGATTTGTATGGTAAGATATAAAACTTATGATATTTTTTATAATAAATTAGATATATGGTGATATATATATATATATATATATATAATTGCTAAGACTATGAAAAGAAAATATAAGGATTTGCATAATATTAGATACATGAAAGACTAAGCAATACTTGTTAATGATAATGAGATTAAAAAAGATAAAAAAAATATTTTTATAAATTATTTAATGAATATTTCATATAGAACTCATATTTAATGATAAATAGTAGTGGTAGATTTAATAATCATAAAATTATTCATAAAATTAGAGAAAAAATATAATAAAAAAGATGAAAATAACTAAAAGTGTGAGATATGCTAATATCCCTGTTGAGATATGAAAAAATTTAGGGGATAAAATAGTAAATTAGTTAACTAACTTATTTAATAAGATTATGAAATTCAAAAGGATGTATGGTGAATAAATTATTTTAATACTAATTTATAAATATAAAAATATAAAATTATTTAAATTTTAAAAAAATTAAAATCATGAGTTAATAATTTTTTTAAAATATTACTGTAAATAGGATAAATAGGATAAGATTAAAACAAATATATAAATTCAAAAAGGTTTCTAAAACGCACTTGGGGAAAGAGAGAGAAGCCCGGTTCGGATTCGGGTCCGAGTCGCCCGATCCGTCTCGTGATAAGACGAGGCACTGCACGGATATAGATGACGGATCCGGCTCGCTTTCTCCGGTCTCTTTCATTGGCGATAAGGAGAGAGGGGCACAGCGATGCACGCGGTGGCAGCGCCGCGGCCGGCGCTCGTTGCCCTTCCGCCTCGACCGGCGGCGGTGATTCGTTCCCTCGAGCAGATGCGGTGGAGGTCACTGTCCATGCTCCTCCTACCCACGAGGAGAGCGAAGAGGGGTATGGCAGTGCGCATGGCACCCGAAGAGGAGAAGATGACCCGCCGCTCTCCGCTCGATTTCCCCATCGTATGTTGAGATATCTCGGACTTCCAATTCTTTCTTGTGTTATCTTCGTCTTTTCATTACTTTTCCCCTCAAATTTTATGCTGTTGTTGCCTTGTGTTGTGTTGTGTGTTCATGTCGGTTTATGGATGCTATGCGTCATAAGAAAGGTTTGGCTTTTTCACAGTATAACGATTGTGGTAGGCTAGATACTTAGTGATAGATGCTCTCTGTACCTCGACACTTTCTGCAAATATGGCTTCGTGGTGAAGATCCTGAGTCTCTTTTGTTGGAATTATTTAGCTTGTAGTTTCCTTCTGGTCCCGGATTTGTTGTCTGAAGGTAGTTTATTATTCATGTTACATTAAATCAATCAAAGATTCATTTTCCAAAGAGAAATACTACAGTGTCTAAGTATTCCCTTTCGCAAGACCATTAAGCATACTGATACCCGAGGTGCCTTAATGTAGTGATTCTTAATGTTATGTAACAATATGTGATTCTTTTTATCTTTTAATTATTGAAGATACATATGTCTTTATCTGTGACTCTGAATACCCTGGTGAGGTTTTCATGACAGTGTTGTTAATATCATGGACTAATTTTAGGTTTTCATTACCTCTCAGCTTTTATCAAGATTGAAATTCTAATTTTATAGTTCTAGAGACCAAAAGTACTGGAATCCCCTGCTACGCAAAAACTAGTGACCGCGTTATTATTTCAATTACATTCTAGGCAACTATGCGTATGCTAGCTACATTGTTGGTATTATATTCAACGTTTCAGAGCTGTTCAAATTTGAAATCTAGAAGTCTGGTGAGTAGGTGATTGTGGTATCATGAGCTATTCTTGATGAACTATTGGGGAACTGGTTAGAGTTCTTTAATACATTAATGCAAAATTGATGTTAGCAATCAGTGATTTTTTTTTTTTATATATATTGGAACATAGAGAGGTCTGCGAGCTTGATGCATCTGATCATTGTGAAATTTGAACCCAGTAAAGATCATTCCATTATTTCCATACTTGTCCGTGGAATATGGATGCTTTAATGATGTGCAGATTTCAGATTTGGCACCTCTAGCACCTGTGATTTTCTTCAGATCTGAACTCTGAAGCAGCTTGAAGCTTGCTAAAGACCATCATACGTACATTCCCTTGGTTTCTATGATTTGGAATCTCATAGGTCTTGCTTTGTGAGAGACTGAGAGTTATTAGTTACAAGTTTATAACTGAAAGGATATTTTTCTTCAAATCCTTTACTGATAGTAAGTCCTTTAAGCTTTATTAGTGGATCATTTGGGTAGCTGCATAATCTAGTTTTAGAATGGAACTTAGGGGAGTTCAATGGGACCATATGATAGGGGTAGTGAATGAAGCTGTCCATGGTGGCCCATGTCTTTCTTGAACATTTGCTTGTTTATTAACTTATTTATTAGAAATAACTTAGTCTTTTCTCATAAACTTGTTTTAGAATAACCAAATCTATGGGGTTCCCATGATGTTCTAAATCAGACCAAATTTGCTATAATTTTTTAAATAGCTGGAATCGGCTTAAGATTGTAAGGAATTGACCCAAATCCACTGATATTGACTGGGATCACCAGGGGTGTTAGTGTTGATAGATTGACTTAGATAAATAAGATGGGCTACTTTATCCCAAGCCAGATCTGGTTGCCCAATCTATGATTTAAAATTTCAGATCAATAGATATTGATTGAGCTTGAACCAGTACAGTGATGGTATTGTACCATACCATGTGTCAGTATGATCTGCTACTAAATGATACTTGCTGTGTTGACCGATATTAGTTTCTGATACTCAACTTTTACTGAACATGTTTTTATGTTTTATTGGCCTCAATAGCAAAGGTATACTATGTGTTGCCTGGTATACTGGTACCACATTGATCTTGTATGTTTGTAAATCTAGGTCCAAGATCCAAATCCTTGATCACCACAATGGTTAGTAGATTGACCAGTTCTAAAAAGATATGAAGCTGTCTATCTGAATATTTAGTGTGATTAAATTTGCTTGAGAGGTTATTTCACTAGGTTTGGTGATCTAGATCAGACTATCAGTGTTGTATCTAGACGACCTTTTTTTTTCCTATTATATTTGTTCGAGCATTTCTTTCTATGTTCTTTTAACTTTTTTTTTCCTATTATATTTCTTTCTATGTTTCTTTTCTCACCATGTGCTGTTTTTATATTCAAAGTTCAAACCATCTGCCATTGATAACTGTTGTAGGAGTGGGAAAGACCGAAGCCTGGACGAAGGCCTGATATATTTCCGAAATTTAGCCCGATGAAAACACCGCTGCCCACTCCATTGCCGACAGACCCTCCTGAAGAAGACGAGGAAGAGAATGAAGAAGAAGAAAAAGAAGAGGATCCCGACAAGGAAGAGCCCGAGGAACCAGAGGTAAGTACTTAGATGTAAAAGAACCATTCACGTGAAGGAGTTACTTAGTGTTATATTAGATTCCGATATTTTGCAACATAAGTAGCCTTTAACTTGTTTCCTCTTCTGAGAGTATGTTATATCGCTAGATCTTTTCTCAAAATAAAATGTCATATTAGCGGATTGCATTTTGTCATAGCTTTACTATATCTTTGAGACCTTTGATATACTTTATTGATCCAAGATCCACTGCACATGAACACAAGTCAATGCACTTGGGGACAAAGGAATCAATTTAGGCATCTATTCAACCTGTTTAATTCGGCTTTGGACACCTTTTAATCAGATTTGAGATGGTATCCAAATTGGCTTCAGATTCAAATAACTAGATAATTAGTAGAGTTCTAGTTTGAGTATGATGCTCTCTATATAGCAATTCTACTGTTAAATAACAATGGTAGCAGACCAATTTTTCATTTTGGATATTTGCATCCCATCCATCCGTTTAGATTAATTTTGAGTCTCCTATAATCGGATTTGAGAAAGATTGGGATAATTGGATTTAAATATTTAAATAATTAGTTGGTCTTTGGTATGGTATGATCAATATTTTCGATCAATCGGACTTTGACATGCGAAGCTCATATAATCTGAACATTATAAATTTACCACTCATATCTTCTATTTAAATTTACCAAACTAATATCGAATGGCTCGAACTCTGTAAAGACTTTTTTTTAACCATCTGCAACAAACAAACACTAAGAAATTTTACTGGATGCATCATATGATTTTTTTTTTTTGTTGATTTCGAGAGAAGCTCTCCTTTGATCTAGTCGTGACTCTCATATCGTGTTTCTGATCATTCCTTTAGAAATTTTTTAAGATCGGATAGACGATCAAAATTGACGAATCATATTTAAATGAACTAAATGAGAAACTTGATTCTAAGACATTCCTCAATAATCCCATATGTAAATTGGCTCACACAAAATGAGGACTTTGTGAACCACTCATGTTCTTGCTCCTAAAGTGACAATTGTAGTTTGTGATGTCAACATACATCTACTTCAGCCAACCTTCCTACCAAACCTTTTCTATGGCCTTGAAGTTGTTTAGTACACCAAACCAATAACTAAGCTTCCTCATGCACTGAATCTGTCCAACTTCCAACTGATATTTCTGTAAGGGAATATTTGTTAACATCATGACATTGCAGAAGATTACTCTTTTTTGACATCAGCAATAGATTTGGCAAGCATCCATCCATCTTTGTTTGACCAAGAAGAAATATACCACCAAATTAGGACTTCCTTATCATATCATGGTCATAATCTTTTAAGTATCTACCTTCCATATCTTAGATGTTATATATATTCCCCCAAAGTTAGTTATTTTTGTATATATTGGCATCATCCTTCCAATTACTAATTTTGCAGGATAATAAGTGGATTCTCCTCAGGATGGGGAGAATGCATGTAATAGTACTGTCAACAACATATTGGAAACAGATATATTTTTTAGGACTAGAATATGTACAAAAGAGGGTGAAACAGAGTGAGGTTTATTGGGGATCTCCACTCAACTAATACACAAACTAACTTAAAAGAGTTCAGTGGTATCTTAAAAGAATTATTGCCAAGGATTACTTGTTAAGAGAGATTGACTGCTCTGACCCTATTCTTGGTTGAGATTCCACTTCTTTTTATCAATTAATTTACATCTATAGAGATATTGATATGGTCAATATTTTCGATAATTCTAGCATTTTGGAGCTTAGTCAGCTAAGGAGTGATGGCGCATTAGCTAGGCTTGCCACATCAGCATAAATACGGATAATATTTTAAATTTAAGAAATATTTTCCTAATCACTCGTTTCAGAGGAGCTTCGTTGGATATACCTGCGACGCTAGTCACACTTGTATCATTATAAATTTACCATGATGAATCAATTTATATTGTTCGTCGTTGAAATTTATCTCAAAAGTACAACTCTTACGAGTGAAAATTTTCAAAATTGACTCTCAAACTTAGAGTCATACTTTTGAGATGAATTTCAAGATGAAAAATCTAAATTGATATGCAACATAGGTGCTAAAATTTATGGAAATGTAGATCACTAAAGAGATTGTTTCCACTATCCAAATTCCAATCACCAATTTTTATGCAACTATAAAAAAAGTAATATCCTTGGGATTTTGGCAACAAAGATGGTAAGTATCTCTCCATGGTTTCTACGAGCATGGGAGCAAATAAAACAAATCCACCAAAAGTTTGTGTTGGCTTTCAAGACAGAGAGGCAAAAATATGAGCACGAAGATGAACCTAAATCTAAAGGAACAAGTACAAAAATTAATACCTTCGGAGGTATAGAATATTGAAGCATATATCAATCCAATTCATCACCTTTGTTTCGGAAAACACGGGTTAGATCGGAGACTAGTCACTGATCCTTTGATAACGTTGTAGAATCCGATCTAATATTTTTATTTGCCAAACACATACAAACCAACCATTAAATATATAAACATTGTCATATCTTAGTTTCCTTTTATTCTTTTGGAGATTTTATCCTTACATAATTACTATTATCACTCAAATTTAGACTGATTAAGTAGTTAGCTACATTTAGTTTTCCGGTTCTTACATAAGTATCTATAAGGTATATTTTAAGAAGTTATGTTTACATCTATATAGTTACAAAAGTGAAATATCTATGTCTATTTATTTTAACATCATCGATTTTACTAACGAAAATATGAAAATAAAAGATAAAAAGATAATTTTAATATTTTAGTTGGTGATGACGAATGACGTCGGTGTCACTAGGGGTTATAGGTGGCTGTTGTGGAGGAGAAGAGTGACAGTGAGAGGTGATGATCGCTCTACATCTACGTTGACGCAGACATAGTGACTAAGCGACCATTTTCTTTGCTCGACAACTACATCGACGCTAACGTAGATGTAGAGCAACGTCACTTTACATTTGCATGATGACCCTTTTGCTACTTGATAACTATATTGATGTCGCTTTGCATTTGTGTCGGTGCTGATACAGATGCTGAGTGGCTCTCACCTCTCGCTACTATTCTTCTCATCCGTAATAGTTGCCCGCGACCCTTAGTAGCATCACTCTCCATCACCATCAATTCAAATGTTAAAATTATATTTTTATTTTTTATTTTCATATTTTCATTGGTAAAACTAATGATATTAAGGTAAATGGACTTAGTTGTTTCACTTTCGTAATTCTACGAAAGCCAATGTAACTTTTTAAAGTGTAAAGATCGGAATACTAAATATAGCTAACTTAATTTACCCATCGAATCATTAACCAGGAAGAGCATAGTTCGACCCACGAATTAAGTCACGACTTCTGACATGGCACAGCTGAGGTGCAGGAGGGGAGAGGTCGGCTCGGTGCGTCGCAACGAAAGTGATGATCTAAGTCGGTGGCTTTTAGCAAATCTACTCGGAGTTCATAAAAATGAATTATTTTATCGTGCAAACAAACATAATGTTTCTAATAGAACTTAATTTATCTCGCTAGCTCAGCTGATCTATCATATCATCGTTGCATCAAGACAAAAGATATCGTATCAAAATAGTAAATATCACATCAATTTTCTTCGATCATCGAAGTGTAGGGTCTCTACATTCAACATGTTTTTTCTTCGTCTCATCTTTTTTTACTTCTTTTCGTTGTCTTCTAATTTAATTTACATTACTGTCATTTCTCAATATCTAATTTAATATTTTCTACTTTGGTACGTTCCATATGCGCTCCTAAACTCTATGACATAGAATGAATATAGACCCGACTCGAGTCATCCACCTCAAATGGACAATCATAATCTGATCTTATCAATATCCTCTATTTGCATAATTTCTGTTAATATATATCCATTCGTTAATTTAAATAAATTATTCAAATTACCTAAATATCAATTAGTATTCAAAATAATATCTACTCAATAATATATATATATATATATAATTTGAATTTTTATATTTTAGAAAAAATATATATATATATATACTTTTTCTATATATATATATATATTTATTTATATATGGAAATAAAAGCAATATCTACGTCGCGGCTATCATCACTATGTCGTCCTTATATTTTAACTCCGGAAAATAAGTAGTGGGTTCAAAGCATTGGAAGGAGGGGCAGTCAAGAGAGAGAGAGAGAGAGAGACAGAGAGAAAGAGAAAGAGAAAGAAAAGCCATCTAATTCTCCCCCAAATCCCTCTTCCGCTCTTGCGTTCGGATCCCCACCGCCTTCCCCCTCTTCGCTAATCCAATTCGGACTTCTCTTGGCTTTCCTGACTCGTTCAGGAACAGCTTCCCCCTCTCCTTTTTCTTTCTCCGCTTGCTCCAAGACGGCGCGAAAACCGGCGATCGCGGAGGTCATTTCGTGCCTTATTGGCGGCAGGTGGAGTCGGAGATAAGAGGGGAGCCGCAAAGGAGGCTTCTTTCCGGTCGATCCTTGAGGTTTCTTGATTTGTTGGCGCATCAAAGGTGAGGCCTTTAGGATCCGATCGTTCGGAATCCTTCCAAAAAATTCTGTTTTTGGGAGATTTTGTCGTTGATCTTTTGGGGAAGGCTGATTCTGAGTTTTGATGAGTCGGTGATCGTTCTTGGATTTTGTTGTGGGTTCCTTCTTGTTGGAGGTTTAAGAATCTGGGGCCGCAGATTGTTTGTTGTTTCTCCTTTTCTGAGGTGATTAGATCATATCTAATGTTGGGGAACCTCGTTTTCACCCAAATACTTTCTTTTCTTTAAATTACTTTGTTTTCTGGAGGATGAAACGATGACCGTAGAAGACCAGCATATGTTTTAGATAATATTCTATCTTTTGGTTCCTCTTTGAACCTTATCTTTTTAACACTTTTCGATGAGACTACAAGACTCTCTCTCTCTCTCTCTCTCTCTCTCTCTCTCTCACACACACACACACACACACACACACACATCCACTGTTTCTTTCTTGCGATTGGGTTTTCATCGTCTCCTTTCATTTAGCAAAGAGTTGCTGCAATAAAATTTTCTAGTTGAATCGCTTGCGTGACCTTATCCTCTGGGGTTTCCGATCGTAGCTTTTCAGTCTCATCGGTATAATGCACAGTAGCTCGGGTAAGATATTGCGTGAGAGTTCATGCTATATGAAATGAAACACTCACTGGAGAGCA